TGTGCGTGAGAAGTGGGAGACCCCTCTTTAAATCTTTTCTCCCTGTCAGACGTAAGGAGAATTGAACCTGGATCTCACACATCTCAGTTGAGTGCTCTAACCACTGGACTAAAAGCTATGAGGGAAGCCGTAGTACCATCACCACCTCTTCCTCTGGTCTTTCTTGCAAAAAATGGCATAGCTGTGTAAATCTAGGAGGGGGTTCCTAGTTGTGGATCCCAAGCATAGTTAGGCACCTCCTTGCAGTTTGGATTTTGGTGCCTTACTCCCAGAGAGGGCAGAGTTTAGGACACACCCCTCTCATCGGCATCTTCTATTGGATAGCATAGGCAGGAAGCTGCCTAGCACACTGGTCTTTGTGGATCCCATTCTTAAATGCCTAGATCTCCCAATGCATTCTATATGGAGCCTGGGCACTTAACTCAAGCTTTGTGAAGTCCAGTAATTTTTCTAGGTGCTACATGTCACACAATACCTAAGTCCCTTTTTAGATGCAGGGCTATATCATAATGCCTAAGCCCAAGCGGGCCAAATTAAGGTTGCACCGACAACCTTAAACCTGGCATTTCCCAATTTTATATACAGACGTGCTGTATATAAATCCAGATGTGTCTCCCAGTAGCATAACAGCACTGCTATGCAAAGACTCCATCTTTATTTTAGGACCTGTCCGGCCCTGGTCAGACTGAGAGCTTTGTTAAGTGAATGATTTACGCACTCTCGGAAGAGAAGGATACTCATATTATTCTAGTCTGACTCCTGCTAGTGGTGGAAAAAATGTGGGGCCTACCCATCCAGGCCTCCAGGTCCGTAGAAATTGAGGTATTGTATGTGATATGCAGGGCCGGCTCTGGCTTTTTTGCCACCCGAGGCAAAAAAGCCTCCCGCCGCCCCCCTCTCCCCCTCCGGAGTGCAGCAGGGGAGGGCGCCGAGCCCGGCCGCGGGCCCGCTTTTCCTGACCGGCCGGAGCGCCGGGGGGAGGGCGGCGAGCCTGCCGTGGCTCCGCTGGCGGCCGGAGCGCCGGGAGGAGGGCGGAGAGCCTGGCCGGGGCCCCGCTCCCCCCGACCGGCCGGAACACCAGGGGGAGGGCCGCGAGCCCGCCGCGGCTCCGCTCTCCCCGGCGGCCAGAGCGCCGGGAGGAGGGCGGAGAGCCCGGCCGGGGCTCCACTCTCCCCAGCGGCCAGAGTGCTGGGGGGAGGGCGGCGAGCCCGGCAGGGGCTCTGCTCTCGGGCCAGAGCGCCGTGCCGCGCCGCCCCCCTCCAGGTGCCGCCCCAAGCACATGTTTGGTGGGCTGGTGCCTGGAGCTGGCCCTGGTGATATGGCTTTGAGGCTTCCTTCTAAAGTTGAACATGGAGAGATTCCAGAAAAAAGCAATGAGTTTATTTTAATTAGTTTAATTTATGAAAATGTGACATTTAAATTTATTAGATCAAAAGGCCTCAGTGGAGTCAGGTGGCCTGACTGCTGCAGACCTTCATTGTGATTAAGGAATCAAAAGTGCCTCATCACCTCAGCCCTGGAATGTGATCACTTTAATTTTGGCAACACCTGCCCTTCCCAGATAAATTTGTTGCCTGAAGTCATAGCTCTGACCATCTCCATATGAGGTAGTGCTAAACTCTACAATCTGAGATTACCATATTCTGAGGCTACTGTGATACCAACACGCAGGATAGGGCTCTCAGACTAATTAGAGCACTCCTTCAGCCTATTGTAAAAAATATATATTTTATGCTTATGCCAGCCTTCCACAATGCTTATCCACATTCCAGGCTACGTGCCCAGCTTCATCAAACTACTTTTAATCCCTTACGAAGGAGCCAATTTGTCTGCGCTCCCTGCATTTACCTTGCGGCCTATAGAAGCATACATATATTTCATTTATGCTAAGGTCACTTTATATAACTCTGGTAATGCAAAAGGACCTTAAAATGGGCATAAATTACATTCATAACTACTTTAAGGACCCTTCATGCAGCCTATCAGGAGGGTGTACATGGACCTTAGTGTAAATGAGAATCAGGCCCTCTCTGCATAATTTGTGTCTTTGTACTCAGCATGTCTCTTTCAAGGTTCATTTTGGTCTCTGATGCCAAAACATGAAATAGGGAGATGCCGTAGGGAAGTGGAGTGAAAGGGGCCTTTGTGAAGGAAGATTTGTCTCCTATATACATGTATGACACCTTAAGTAGTCTTAATAGGTCATGTGCAGCCATTTCATTGATGGCTAAAAAAGCACATGAATGGTCATCACCCTGTTCTGCGTAGTTCAGCTATTCTTTCTAGCATTTACAAGGACTGTCATCAAATGTAAAAAAGCTCATGCATCACAGAGGATGAACAACCACTAGGAAAGCTGTCAGTTGCAGAATTGTGCAGACTTTCTCTCAAAAGCTGGCAGCACAGCTCTATGAAAAGTTGTGCACCCTAATTGAATTTGCTGCTTTTTTACATGCAACCATCATGCAAGAGCATGTAGTCCTGTTACTGCTTCAACATCCTTACCCTGCCAAAAGGAGTAAGGACAGGTGACACCCCCTTACTTTTCCTTGTTACACGACTAAGCATCCTAAAACAGACACTGAATCCCCAAAGCCTGCAAGAGTACATTACTTCTGTGGTTTTCAAAGCCACGTAAGAGATTTGGACACCCCGGCCCAGATCCATCAAAAAACTTTAGCACCTAAACCCCAGACTTAGGCATCTAAGTCCCAGTTTTGGCTCCACTGCATTCCACAAAACTCTTGCCAAACCCAATAGGCACCTAAACTCGATTGGCACCTAAGTTTTTAGGATAAAAGTTCCCTAGACACCTATGTTTTTGCCTCTAGGCATGTGCCCTGCTGCCTCCCTCTATGTGTCTGGATGTATATCTCCTCACTAAGCCTCAGAGTGATTCCCCCTCTGGAGGAAGATGGACAATAGTCTGCCTAAGTCACATACAGGGCCCAATCTGGTAGCTGTGCTCAGAGGCTGCCTACTGATTGGGTCCCATTGGGATGTGATAGACTTGGGTTTAATTCCCACATCTCAGAAGAGTGCTCTAACAGTGAACTATTGGATAGTCTGATGTGGGGAATCCCTCCATCTCCCTTGTGAAAGCTTTTTCCCTAACCACTGGACTACAGAGTCATTCTTTCACTTGTTTTCTCTCTCTGGGCCAAATGACTGTTTCACTATGGATAAATACTTAAATAGTTATTGGGCTGGAGAGAGAGTGAGAATGACTCAGGGGTTAGGCATCCACCTGGGAGGTGGAAGACCTAGGGTCCAGTCTCCCTGCTGCAATCACTTTCATTATTTATACACATCCACAGTGGAACAGCTTCAGCACAAGAGATTGGGACAGTCTGCTGTGGGGCCTCCTTGTAGCTCAGTGGTTAGAGAGCTCTCCTTAAGATTTAAACAGTGATCTCCCACCTCTGGCAGAGGGAGGAGTTGAACCTGGAGCTTCCACATCCCAAGCAAGTGCTCTAGTCACTGGGCTAAAAGTTATAAGGTGGATGGCAGCAGCTGCATCATCACCACCACTTCTCCTCATTCCTGCAAGAGGCTCCTAAGCTGCCTGAGTCCAGGAGGTTCCTGTCCACTAAGCAGAGATAGACACTTGTCTGCAGCCCAAATTTAGGGGCTGTCTCCCAAAAAGGAGTAGGATTTAGGACACACCCTTATTGACAGCTGCTCCCATTGGTTAGCTTAGAAGGCTCCCCATCTAGTGTGTGGGCTTTTGCGGATTCATTCTAAGGCACTTATCTTTCCCCATTCATTGTGTAGGGAGCCTAGGTGCCTAACTTCATTTTGTGGATCGTGATATTGTTCCTGTGATTTTTCTGGGCACCTAAAAGTTGAATCCCATCCTCAGTTCCCATTCATTACAGTGTAAATTGGGTATCCAAATCCTTTAGGTGGCTTTGAAAAGTCCCAGCCTCTCTACCTCTTCCCATTACACTAGTGAGTGGTAATAAAAATTGTTTGCTTGTTGTTACTGAAATTTTATTTGCTAACATTTTCACTTGTGAGGAAATGATGAAATTAGGGAACATTTGCAACAAACATTTGGTTTAATGAAATACGCACCAAGTCATGATTTTAGGAAGAAATATTTAAACAAGAAAATCACGTCATTTGTGCTTCTTTTGATAAAGTAAAATTTGCTAAAAAAATAATTGTGAGTAGAGCAGGGCAGGAATGTTCTGTATATGCGTGCAAAAGTGACAAGTCATCCACTTGGCATAACTGTATTTTAGTTTTTGCCAGAAAATTGAGGTGTGGAGAGAAAATGTCTCTTCCTTATTCCATGAAACACCACCAACTTAGTCCTTCATTGGGGTGTCTTGTAGTGGTGGTGGGCATTTTTACATGCAGTTCTTTATGAGCTGGGATACTGTGATTCCAAACTATTATGCAAGAATGTGGGTCAGCAGCTGGCTATCTACAGGCATCAAGTCTCTCTGCTAAAGGCAGGATGTGCAGCTATCTGTGTTTTAAACAGCTATTCTTCTGATGTTATGTTCTTATTACAGACATGTACCCTTGCTAATCCGTCTTTTTGGTTGAAGTAACATCCAAAAATAAAAAACAGCTTGGAAGGCAATGTGTGAGCTATTTTCTGTTAAGAATAGAAAGTGCTGCTGTCAAAATAGTTTCCCACATTGGGATCCAAGAGCAACATGCTTATGCAATGGGCCAAAAACAAATCCTGCAAATGAGATTAAGGTGGCTGAGTAGTTAGCTACAGTGCAGATACACGATCCAACAATTTTCACAAGCATAAACAGACTCATTTGTTAGAAAAAATGGTCCATATTTCTGTTGTACATGTAATCAAATAGAAAAATTTAAGAAAGATTGCTGTTATATATGAGAAACTGGCACCTGTGATTCAAAGCTGAAATCCATTACTGTATCTTGCAAATACTTTCCCTTTATCATTTTGAAGGAATAATTAGATTTGTGGAGTATGTAACAGAGATGACTATGTCACTATTATGTATTTCTAGTAATTCACAAAGAGAAACCTGAAAAACAAGAAAAGATTGAACGGAAAGAACAACCAAAAGGTAAGTGTCCAGTGCTTGAGATTGGCATTCATTCTGACTCCTCTTTGGTCCAAAATAGCCTCATCTGTTGATGTTCAGGGCATGCTGCAAAGTCCATTTATTTTCATGGAGGGAGGAAGTATAATGAAGGATGACTGTATGGAGAGGGGAGATTTTAAAGGACTTTTGGATACATCAACTATCTGTATGGCTTTATTGAACATAAAGGCTAAGATCTTCTTCTTAGCATATGTGCAACATTTCTCAGGTGGCACGTGACCAGGACTTATCACTGAATTTGGTCCACTGGTTGGATCATTAGCTTCCCCAGCCCAGACTGGGTATTGATGGGGAGTGCAACATGAACGCTGATGGATTGCTGGATGCTTTATGTTGTTTTTTTAACCTTATAGAATATAGCAGTAGGGATATGCTACCGACCACCTGACCAGGATGGTGATAGTGACTGTGAAATGCTCAGGGAGATTAGAGAGGCTATAAAAATAAAAAACTGAATAATAATGGGGGATTTCAACTGTCTCCATATTGGTTGGGTACATGTCACCTCAGGACGGGACGTAGAGATAAAGTTTCTTGACACATTAAATAACTGTTTCTTGAAGCAGCTTGTCCTGGAACCCACAAGGGGAGAGGCAATTCTTAATTTAGTCCTAAGTGGAGCACAGGATCTGGTTCAAGAGTGAATGTAGCTGAACCACTTGATAATAGTGACCATAATATAATTAAATTTAACATCCCTGCAGTGGGGAAAACACCACTGCAGCCCACCACAGTAGCATTTAATTTCAGAAAGGGGAACTATGTGGAAATGAGGAAGTTAGTGAAACAGAAATTAAAAGGTACAGTGCCAAAAGTGAAATCCCTGCAACCTGCATGGAAACTTTTTAAAGACACCACAATAGAGGCTCAACTTAAATGTATACCTCAAATTAAAAAAACATAGTAAGAGAACCAAAAAAGTGCCACTGTGGCTAAACAACAAAGTAAAAGAAGCAGTGAGAGGCAAAAAGGCATCCTTTAAAAAGTGGAAATTAAATCCTAGTGAGGAAAATAGAAAGGAGCATTAACTCTGGCAAATGAAGTGTAAAAATATAATTAGGAAGGCCAAAAAAGAATTTGAAGAACAGCTAGCCAAAGACTCAAAAAAGTAATAGCAAAATTTTTTTTAAGTACAGCAAAAGCAGAAAGCCTGCTAAACAACCAGTGGGGCCACCAGACGATCGAGGTGCTAAAGGAGCACTGAAGGATGATAAAGCCATTGTGGAGAAACTAAATGAATTCTTTGCATCGGTCTTCATGGCTGAGGATGTGAGGGAGATTCCCAAACCTGAGCCATTCTTTTTAGGTGGCAAATCTGAGGCACTGTCCTAGACTGAGGTGTCATTAGAGGAGGTTTTGAAATAAATTGATAACTTAAACAGTAATAAGTCACCAGGATCAGATGGTATTCACCCAACAGGATAGGTGGCGATTTTTATGGGCCCGTGGTGACTGAGCACCAGGAATATTCCTGGCCCGGCTCCAGCAATGTTTGAGGCTGTGTCTCTCCCTTGGCCCTGCCTTCCGCCCCGGGCGCTCCCTCCCCGCACGTCTCCCGGGCGATTTAAAATGGCCCGGGGCCCCCACCCACCACCGGCAGTGCAGCGGAGCTGAGCAGCTTCCTGCCTGCTCATTCCACATAGCTGCCGGCCCCTTCTTGCGGCCCCTGGGCGGCGTGGGTCTGTGTCTACATGTGCTGCTCCTGCCCCAAGTGCCCCTGCAGCCAATAGGAAGCTGCGGGGGCGGTGCCTGGGGGTAGCAGCGCGCGGATGCTCCCCGGCCTGCCCTGCCTAGAAGCCCCAGGTAAGCACCGCACCACCCACCCCCCTCCCAGAGCCTGCACCCCCACCCCTTTCCCACACAGCCCCTCCTGCCCCAAACTCCCTCCCAGAGCCTGCACCTCCTCCCCCTTCCCACACACCCCTTCCTGTCCCCAAACTCCCTCCCAGAGCCTTAGGCAGGTAGGGGGTGGAGTTGGGGGGCGGAGTTTTGGGGGGCAGGCTCTGGGCGTTCTGGCACCACCAAAATTTCTATAAACCTGCCGCTCCTGCCCAAGAGTTCTGAAGGAACTCAAATGCAAAATTGCAGAACTACTAACTGTGGTATGTAACCTATCATTTAAATCAGCTTCTGTACCAGATGACTGGAGGATAGCCAATGTGATGCCAATTTAAAAAAAAAAAAGGCTCCAGAGGTGATCCTGGCAATTACAGGCCAGTAAGCCTAACTTCAGTATCGGGCTTAAGAACAGAATTATCAGACACATAGATGAACATGATTTGTTGGAGAAGAGTCAACATGGTTTTTGTAAAGGGAAATTATGCCTCACCAATCTATTAGAATTCTTTGAGGGGTCAACAAGCAAGTGGACCAAGGGGATCCAGTGGATATAGTGTACTTAGATTTTCAGAAAGCCTTTGACAAGGTCCCTCACCAAAGGCTCTTAAGCAAAGTAAGCAGTCATGGGATAAGAGGGAAGGTCCTCTCGTGGATCAGTAACTGGTTAAAAGGATGGGAATAAATGGTCAGTTTTCAGAATGGAGAGAAGTAAATAGTGGTGTACCCCAGGGGTCTGTACTGGGACCGGTACTATTCAACATATTCATAAATGATCTGGAAAAAGGGGTAAACAATGTGGTAGAAAAATTTGCAGATGATACAAAACTACTCAAGATAGTGAAGTCCAAAGCAGACTGTGAAGAGTTACAAAGGGATCTCTAAAAAACTGGATGACTGGGCAACACAATGGCAGATGAAATTCAGTGTTGATACATTCAAAGTAATGCACACTGGAAAACATAATCCCAAGTATACATATACAATTATGGGGTCTAAATTAGCTGTTTCCACTCAAGAAAGAGATCTTAGAGTCATTGTGGATAGTTCTTTGAAAACATCACTGAATGTGCAGCAGCAGTCAAAAAAGCAAACAGAATGTTGAGCATTATTAAGAGAGGGATAGATAATAAGACAGAAAATATCATATTGCCTCTATATACATACATGGTATGCCCACATCTTGTATAATGCATGCAGAAGCGGTTGCCCCATCTCAAAAAAGATATATTGGAATTGGAAAAGGTTCAGAAAAGGGCAACAAAAATTATTGGGGGCATAGAACAACTTCCATATCAGGAGAGAATAATAAGACTGGGACTTTTCGGCTTGAAAAAGAGATGACTAAGGAGGGATATGAGAGAGGTATATAAAATCATGGCTGGTGTGGAGAAAGTAAATAAGGAAGTGTCATTTACTCCTTCTCATAACACAAGAACTAAGCGTCACCCAATGAAAATAATAGGCAGTAGGTTTAAAACAAACAAAAGGAAGTATTTTTTGACGCAATGCACAGTCAACCTGTGGAACTCTTTGCCAGTCTGTTGTGAAAGCCGAGACTATAACAGGATTCAAAAAAGAACTAGATAAATTCATGGAGGATAGGTTATGATGGAATCCACTTCAAGCCAAGGGGTGTGGCAGCACCCCCATTCCCCTAGTTTCAGCACCTATGTGGTCTGTGCCAACAGCAAATTACAGAACTTCCCGTGCTCTCTAGTATGTTGGGAATCAGAACCAAAGCTCCATCCACTGCTGGGTGGGAAGTAAATGGGTGCTGTGCAGCTGGAGCCAAGGGCTAGGTAGCTCACACAGCAGTACAATGGGGATTCTGACTCCTTACTTCTCTGCACCTGTAGTCCAAATTACAGTTTAGCCCCAAATAAATAGTCTAGCTAGTGAGCTATAGCGGTAGCTATGCCACATATTTACTGTGAAGTCATTCTGTTGTTTGTTTTTTAATGAACAACTTCTCTGTAAATGGAGGTTCACTGTTTTTAAAATAGCTGTTTTCACATTGCAATACATTCAAACAATTCTGGACTGCTAGTATACTTCACTCTAAACACAGTTTCACTGTGGCATATCTGAGATCCCTGTGAGTTCCACTGTGTCCATGATTATATATTTAAATACATTTCATTTGCGAGATTTGAATCTGTGGCAAATACACAATATTGTATTCTAATTTCTAATTATCTTCCATTATGAAGATCAAGAAAATATTTAATGAGGGGGTGGGGGAAAGATAGAATAGACGTGGAAAATAATTAGCCACCCACATAAATGTTTTGTCATTTAGTTAGAGCAGGAGTTCGCATTCTCCCTTATTCTGCAGCAATCAGCCTATTGTTGAAGGAAGCAAGAGGCTCAATACTCCCTGCTTTCTTATTTTTGTTTCCAGTTATACTTGGAATTAACATTCCATAACAGATCTCGTCTGTTTCCTCTTGTTTGACAAAGGAGCTTTACCATAGTCAGGCGGTAGCTCCACGAGAGTTAAGCTTGAGACTAGGTTACTGGTTTACAACTGACTTTTCTAAGTGCTCCAAAATCGATATGCTTACTCAGATTGTCTTGAAAATTACTTTGCTGCACAGAGGTCCTAGGTAAGGTTTGTGGTCCTAGTCTGAGGTCATCTGAGCAAGGGGTTTCTGGGATACAGCCATCTTAAAAAATCATGCAACGCCAAAATGTTACAGTGCTTATTTTGCGCACATTGTGTGTGTGTGTGTAACTATTTCTCTGATCTTCCTCAAACTGATATCATCTGCTCAGAATTGATCTCAACTAGTTTCCAGAACCCACTGCCCCTTTGAGGGAGGAATATTTTAAAAGGTACTCCAAGAAAAAGTTGGATCTACCATGTGGCTCAAGCTGAGCTGGTAAATCATAGAAAGTCATCTGCACATGCGTAGGCAGCCTGCCCTCAGAATAAGTAGGGGGCTGAAGGTGATATGTTGTGGTCATTGGAGCCACACAGCACCCCTTTACTGTGAGTTTGAGTCCTGCACTTGGCAGTTTTCTGAGGATGTGTTACGGTGAGTATTCAGACAGGTATAGTACAAATTAGCAGCTCAGAGTCACTGTTTGGTTTTGTGTCTTACTGTAGAATTATTTTAATTTCTGAGTTTGTGAAATCTGTTATTAAAAATATAAATGTTTATTTCTTCATAGTGATGTACAAAGACAAATCTGAAAGACCAGAAAAACCTGAAAAGAAAGAAAAACCCATAGGTAATTATTTCTCTTCATGATCTCTCAATACTTTTCAGGGTACACCAGGCCTGATTCTCCACTCCTTTGCATATCATATAGTCCTTGAAACCTGTGAAAAGTCAGCGTAAACACTGTGGGCCAGATTCTCAGCTGGTGTGAAGCAGTGTATTTCCATTGAAATCAGTGGAGCTATGCCAGTTTACACTAGCTGAATATCTGGCCCAAGTATTCTAATTTGGTTGCATTTTACATGCATGTTGCACAGGTGACGATGCCTGCATCAGATGCAAGGGAATGGAGAATCAGGTCCAGTATGTTTGAATGACACAATAACCTGCAAGTATAAAGTATATTAAATATGGGTATTCAGGTAAAACATGGCATATTCTCTGATTATTTTCAAAGATAAAATTTAAATAAAGTTAGTGAGGTGGGAAACATGAAAAAATGTTTAAAATTAGATAAGGAATAAGCAGATCTGCAACATAAGTATTAGAGAATAGGACTAATTAATTAGTTTGAAAAACACTTCGAAGATGGATCAGTGCTAAATAAATGTAAACCATTATATTCTTTTGAACATCAGTAAAAAATAACAGCTTTTGAAAATACAGGTGTGTGTGTACTGTCTTGTAGGCACACAAGTGCATGCATACATTTCTGTATGTCTGAATAATGATATGCCCCCCATACCAGATGTGTACAAGTGTTTTCACATACACATACCCAGTTTGGTATGCAATTAGTCATGTACACCTACAGATGCTCAGATTTGCATGTGCATGTTGGGTATTTGTGTGTGTCAAGTAAGCATGCACAAATGCATGGGTGCAATTGCGCATGCCTAACTTCGAAACATTGGAACCCACACTGTACAATATTCCAGTGGGTGCATTGTGGAGGGATTATTGCCTGATCTGGGTGCGTTAAGAAGTGAGAGACAGAAACCCATTCACAAGAATGTGCTTTATTTTTATTTGTGAAATAGAAGCTTAAAATAAAATAAAGTGCGGTAGTTAATATGCCCTCACAATTACATGTGTAATTAAACAGAGGGTGGTTTTATCATTAGTAGCCAATAAAAATTGTTGTTGTTTTTTATCCAGGCTTCAGAAGCAACTGCATAATTAAAAAAAACAAACAACAACAAAATTACCTGATTGCAGCATTCTTAGGGCCGTTGTTCAACTTGTCAACTCTGTTAGCTTGACTCTTCTTGATTAGCTACTCTCATGGTACCACTGTTGTGTCATCAAGGCACATTGTATTTCGATAGGGTTCGGAAATGAAAACAGACATGGGAGACCTTAGAGATGGTGCGTACATCTGTTTACAGACTCTAATCTCATGTTGCATACGTTTTGACATCTTGAGTGGTCTCCGTGACCTCTCCAAATGCTCACTGTCATATGAACTACTTCATTGGTACCTTTTAACTCCAGTAGATGACTGTTCTATGAAAATGCCATTAAAATACATCCAAAGCACAAAATCTACTCACGTGCCCTTTATGTTGATGAGTTATAATAATAAAACCCCTATCGTTATTATACCTGACAATCAAAAAAAAAAAAAAAAAGAACTTGCCTGAGGTGAGTGGGAAGGTAATATTTGTATGTCTGGATTATTCTGTTTTTCCATATAAAAATTTATAGATACCTTCCAGTATAATTAGATTTCAGTGATTTCATGGACCTTCAGTTCTTAAAGGTCTTAACCTGGAGGTTAACCAGCTATGGATGTGCTATTGACAAAACAGCTTTTGGCTGAAATAATTTGAACACATAAACAAAGCTTAGTGAGAGTCAACAAGTCTCACCAGCAGTGAAGCTGGCATTTAGTAGAATCACATCTTTGGTTTTGGCGTGACTTGTGAAAACTAAACACTCTTTTATTTTACCTCCACTTTTTGTTTTTTTCACCCTCTAAAAACAAGTCAGCCTGAGACAGAGCTTTGCTATTATCTTCATTTAACATGGGTTTACATATTGAAAATAGCAAAATGCTGTCATGAGGTGAATGTGTTAATTTCCCCAATATTTTTATTGCGAAAGTATCTATGCAGTGGTAAGACCGGCAAAATTGCAATCTGGGCACAATTTGTGAATTTGTCAAACTTTGCATGAACTTCAGTGTTTGCATTCTTACTATTATTACTATTGGAGCAGATCTAAGATTGTAATATATTTTAAGGCCGGAAGGGACCATTATGATTATCTAGTCTGGCCTCCTGCATAAGATAGGGCATAGAATTTCACTCAGAATTTCCTGCATCAGGCCCATAACTTCTAGTTGAGGTAGAACTACTCATTTATTTTGTGCTCCAAACTGTGCTTGGTGCTTTTAGGGCAGGGGCCTGTATTGTGTGTCTGTAGAGAGCTTACAGTCTAATGGTTCTGTCCTACAAACATCTACTGGTCCAATGTATCACTTACAATGATATCAATAAATCCTTTTCCTTAGTAAATCCTTTTACTTTTTATTTTTTTTGTTAAGCCATTGGTGTGATCAGTGCTGTTCAATACTGGGAGAAAAGTCAGTCCTTCCCTAAGAACCTTATAATGTAAATGGACTGTAAAGTGAAAGTCTCTAAAACTGCCACTGGTTTTTTGGCTGCTGGTAAAGAGAGGAACCACACTGGAATTTTCAACTCTACAACCACCTTTGGGCTACAGAATGTGACTTGGGCTACTGGCTTAAAAAAAAAAAAAAAAAAAAGAGAAGTCCATGTAGTGCCTGGCCTCTTCCTGGCTAGTTTTCTCTCCATCTCCATATATTAATGATGGATTATATGACTGTTGTTACTTTGTACTACTTCCAACCAAAATGAGGGCTTGTCTTAACTTACACACCTATAGCGGGTGTCGATTTAGTGGGTCTAGTGAAGACCCGCTAAATCAGACGTGGGCAAACTACGGCCCGTGGGCCACATCCGGCCCACGGGACTGTTCTGCCCGGTCCCTGAGCTCCCGGTCGGGCCCCTCCCTCACTGTTCCACCTCCCCCGCAGCCAAACCGCTGCGCAGGCCGCGCTCTAGCCCACTGCTCCCACTGGGCAGCATGGGGAGCACAGCTGGCTCTGGCTGGGTGTCGCAGCTGCGAGCTCCTGCTGCTGGTAAGGGGGCATGGAGTGGGAGGGCTGGGTAAGGGAGCGGGGGCTCCTGAGGAGCAGTCAGGGAGGAAGGGGCGGTTGGATGAGGTGGAGGTTCTGGGGAGGCGATCAGGGAATGGGGAACAGGGAGGGTTGGGAGTGGGAGTCCCGGGGGGCCTGTCAGGGGGTGGGGGTGTGGATAAGGGTCAGGGCAGTCAGGGGACAGGGAGCAGGGGGGTTGGTTAGGGGGCGTGGGTCCCGGGAGGGGGCGGTCAGGGGACAAGGAGCAGGGGGGATTGGATGGGTTGGGGGTTCTGAGGGGGCCAGTCAGGGGGCGGGAAGTGGGAGGGGCAGATAGGGGGCAGGGTCCAGACTGTTTGGGGAGGCACAGCCTTCCCTACCTGGCCCTCCATACAGTTATGCAACCTCAGTGTGGCCCTCGGGCCAAAAAGTTTGCCCACCCCTGCTCTAAATCAATGGCAGAGTGCTCTCTGGTCGACCCCGGTACTCTAGCTCCCCAAAAAGAGTAGGGTAAATCGACCAGAGAGCGTCTCCCATTGACGCAGCACAGTGAAGACACTGGGGTAAATCAACCTAAGCTATGTCGACTCCAGCCATGTTATTCACATAGCTGAAGCTGTCACCTTCAGCCCCCAACTAAAACCTCTCCAGCTCATCATCAGAGATCTACAACCTATCCTGAAAGATGATCCCTCACTCTCACAGATCTTGGGAGACAGACCTGTCCTCGCTTACAGACAACCCCCCAACCTAAAGCAAATACTCACCAGCAACCACACATCACTGAACAAAAACACTGACCCTGGAACCTATCCTTGTAACAAAGCCCGATGCCAACTCTGTCCACATATCTATTCAAGTGACACCATCATAGGGCCTAATCACATCAGCCATACCATCAGGGGCTCGTTCACCTGCACATCTACCAATGTGATATATGCCATCATGTGCCAGCAATGCCCCTCTGCCATGTACATTGGCCAAACCGGACAGTCTCTACGCAAAAGAATTAATGGACACAAATCTGACATCAGGAATCATAATACTCAAAAACCAGTGGGAGAACACTTTAACCTGTCTGGCCATTCTATGACAGACCTGCGGGTGGCTATCTTAAAACAGAAAAACTTCAAAAACAGACTCCAACGAGAGACTGCTGAGCTGGAATTGATATGCAAACTAGACACAATCAACTCAGGGTTAAACAGGGATTGGGAATGGCTGAGCCATTACAAACATTGAATCTATCTCTCCTTGTAAGTACTCTCACACTTGCTTCTTATCAAACTGTCTGTACTGGGCTATCTTGATTATCACTTCAAAAGTTTTTTTTCTCTTACTTAATTGGCCTCTCAGAGTTGGTAAGACAACTCCCACCTGTTCATGCTCTCTGTATGTGTGTATATATATCTCCTCAATGTTTCACTCTATATGCATCCGAAGAAGTGGGTTGTAGCCCACAAAAGCTTATGCTCTAATAAATTTGTTAGTCTCTAAGGTGCCACAAGTACTCCTGTTCTTATAGCTGAAGTAGCATAACTTAAGTCGACTTACCCCGGTAGTGAAGACAAGCCCTGAATGTAACTCTCAGTTGTGAGGTGTCTCAGGCTGTGGAACTCTATTCCAAGGCTGCCTTCAGTGTGCCCTCTTGCAAAGGATCATGCAATGTCAGTGAAACATAATTTTCCTCCTGACTAGAGCTTTAAATGAGAACTCTGATGAACTACATCCATAAATGTCACAAAATGTGAGATCTGTAATTTGGGAACTGTCTTGTGAGTTGAAGTGAATGATAGCTGAATGTGCCCAGTTCCTCCTTCATACAATCAGGCCCTAGCATCCAGGTGTCAATTGAAATAGTTTTTTCCTTACTCATTTGATCTGAACTCTTTGTCTTTTTAAATAAGTACAATATCGTGTCTGTTTATTTCTAGTTGCTCACAAAACCAAACCTGAAAAACAGGAGAAAGCTGAAAAAGCACCTCCAAAAGGTAATTATTGATTAGTTTTAGATTTGGGTTTTGTTTTTTTCTTTTTTGGGTATGGAGGTCTGTTTAGAGTGTGTAGTTGTTTCAGCATGACTTCTCTGATGATAAACTAATCTTTCTTCGGGCCTATTTGGCTAGGGTTGCCAGGTGTCCAGTTTTTGACCGGAACACCGGGTCGAAAAGGGACCCTGGTGGCTCCGGTCAGCACCACTGACCGGGCCGTTAAAAGTCTAGTCGGCGGTGATGCGGGTCTAAAGCAGGCTAGTCCCTATCTGTCCTGGCACTGTTCTGCGTCCCAGAAGCGGCCAGCAGGTCTGGTTCCTAGGCAGGGAGGCCACAGGGCTCCGCCCACTGTCCCCCACCCCCAGCACTGGCTCTGCACTTCCATTGGCTGGGAACCGCGGCAAATGGGAGATGTGGGGATGGTGCCTGTGGGCGAGAGCAGCGTGCAGAGCCTCCTGCCCCCCCTCCCCGCCTAGGAGCCGGACCTGCTGGACGCTTCCAGGGCGCAGCGTAGAGCCAGGACAGGCAGGGAGCCCTCACCCCTGCAGCACCACTGGCCAGGAGCCGTCCGAGGTAACCCTCATCCCTGTCCTCACTCCAGATGCCTGCATCCCCAGCCATGGCCCTCACCCCCCCCTCACACCCCAACCCCCTGTCCCAGTCCAGAGACCCTGAACCTCTCGTCCCCGGCCCCACCCCAGAGCCCGCACCCCTAGCCCAGAGCCCATACCCACTCCTGCACCCCAACCCCCTGCCTCAATCTGCAGCCCCCTCCTGCACTCTGAATCCCTCATCCCCACCCCCCAGCCTGGAGCCCCCTCCCGTACCCAAACCCCTCATCTCCAGCCCCACCCCAGAGCCTACACCCCCAGCCCAGAGCCCTTACCCCCTCCTGCACTCCAACCCCCTGCCTCAACCCGCAGCCCTCTCCCACATTCCAAATCCCTCAGCCTGGAGCCCCCTCTTGCACCCAAATCCTTCATCCCCAGCCTCACCCCAGAGCGTGCACCCCCAGTCGGAGCCCTCACCCCTGCCCACACGCCAACCCCCTGTCCCAGCCCATTGAAAGTGAGTGAGGATGGGGGAGAGCGAGCCACTGAGGGAGGGGGAATGTAGTGAGCAGGGGCAGGGCCTTGGGGAAGGGATGGGAAAGGGGACGGGGCCTTGGAGAAGGGGCAGGGCTAGGGTGTTCGGTTTTGTGTGATTAGAAATTTGGCAACCCTATATTTGGCTAAAGGCCTTGAGCAGTTCCTGTCTTAAGTTTTGTACAACATATTTCTTGCTTAGTTCTCTTGTTTTGTAACAAACCATTCCATGAACCATTCTTGCATAGCTAGAGTAATGAGCAACTGAGTATTGTGTTTTTGTTTCTTGTTGTCCACTTCTCCAAAATTGGATTCAGGGATTTGACTATAACAAAGGCTTTCTCTCTTGTATCAGTTTTCAGTTTAGTGGGGACTTTTCTGAGATGGTGTTTACCATCTCTTGCTTTGTGTCTTCTCTTATATCCAAAAATAGCTGTTAATTTTCTTGCTTTTATTTATTGCAACAACCTTTTTGTTCTAGCATGTGATCTGTGCAGTTTTTCACTGATAGAAATTGCACTTTTCCTCTCTAGCAAGGCAAATATGCCTTGGATAAAATGTATGAATCTTCCAATTACCACACATATTCTGGGGCAACAGGGCATGAGGGGGTGCGTTTCTAGTATTCTTTCAACTGAAAATCCTATCTTTAAATATACTTCGGAGAGGAGACTTTCCAAATCAATTTAGCCTGCTCCACCAATTCATTTTGTTGACCATAGCATTTATAATTCTTTGATTGACTGTGGGTTCCTACATATTTACTTTTGTCCTAAAGACTTTGCTTTTTGGGGGATCAGATTCTGCTTTACTGGGTTGGGTTAGGGTACATCTTCACTGCCTAGACAAGCTGGGCTCATAACTGAGTTTTAGCCACAACTCCTCCCCCTTTCCACCCACACAGAAAAACAGCTGATTTGGGTTGGACGTGCATTAATCCAGGGCTATATGACTTGGCTGGGAATATCAGTTAGACTGAGCCTGGGCTCTGATTTAACTCTGGCTGGTACCCACTTATTTCGCTGTGATGACTCAGGCAAAATCAGTCAAGTGCTGATTGTCCTGCAATGTCCTTCCCAAAATTCCCTCCAAAGGACAGACATCGACTCCTGCAGTTGGCACAACTGAGTGGAAATGAATCCTAGAGTGTATCCAAAGAACCATGGGATATGCCCCAGACACACACAAGTGAGTGCAGAATGAGTGAGGACATGATAACGTGGGTAGGGCTTTTTAGTGCAGACGCTCACACCCATGCTAAGTTAACCTAGGTGCTTAGACTTGGGTGCTGATCACCCAGGTTGACTCTGTAATGAATATGTAACCTTAGTCTCTAATCTTTGTCTCTTCCTTATTTTTTAGTCAGACTAGGATTAGATCTGGAACCATTTATATGCTAGTGGAGTGAAAATAGGCTCTCAGGAATTAATTTTGCTTGATTTTGAAGCTGTTCAAACACAGTGACACAGTGGATTGGAATGTTTGAATCAGACTTTATTGGGATCGCATTCTGCTAAGGAAAGTTGTGGAAAAAGGAAGTGGGAGTGCGGAAAAATGTGAATGAAAACATGAATATAATAATAAAAGGCAGCCACTATCCAGTATCTCTTTGAAGGAGGGGATGCAGCAGTTCTTCTATCTTAAATGTGTAGCACAAACTTTCCTTAGCTAGAAAAGTATGTTTTTTAAAATTGAATCACCCTGAAGTAAATCAGGGGTGGTCTTCATAGAAAATAAAAATTCACAAATTCAATTTAGTCTTGAGAATGCAAAAAAACCCAACTCTCTCCACCCCAAACTCCATGAAGTTCAGACTGTATGCTCTGCCTGTCTATCCATCCCGGGACTGGCCAACATATTTTGTGAAGAGTTCTGCTTGGTTAACTGTTGGCGCTTTGGCTGTATTAGTAGCTAGGGAGACATTCCATTCCATTTCTCTCTAAGAGCTTGCCTACACTTAAAACGCTGCAGCGGCACAGCTGTGCCACTGCAACTGTAGCAATGTAGACATGATCTACATTGATGGGAGGGATTCTTCCATCAGCACAGGTAATTCACCTCCCCGAGGGGTGGTAGCTAGGTTCATGGAAGGATTCTTCCGTCCACCTAGCGCTGTCTACATGGGGACTTAGGTTGGTTTAGCTACGCCACTCGGGTGTGGATTTTTCACACCCCTCACCAACTTAATTAAATCAACCTAATTTTGTAGTATAGACCAGGTCTAAATCCTGGGGGAGGATTCTGTGCATCAACAGTTCCTGTGGATCTGCTTAGTGCACATCTCATTAATTTGAGCTGCCCCTCCCTCAGTGTGTGTCAGGCCACTTCTCATCTTATCTGAGGTTTGTTCTATGTCATGTCAGTTGCCAGTAGTGCTAAGGGTCATTCCAGCAGCTGGGGATCACAGGGGCATGGGGATGCCCAGGCAATGCATGTAATGCCAGCTGCAGGGAGAGATTGTGGTGTAGGAGCCATTATGATGGTTCTAAACCATTTAAATTTCCCCCTACTCATAGGAGATCCTATGAAGGCTGAGTAAGCAGACTTCAGGGTAGCTTTTTTCCCCAGATAAAGGGGCCCAAGAACTTATATTGGCAAGAACACCATCTAAACACATCAGCTAAGAAGCATACACCCAAAAGACCATAACATTGAATGTCCATTCCAGAGTGGAATGTGTTAAAAGAGAATGTTGCTGTTATTTAGCTGCCACTTGAATGAAGTGAAGATAACTTTCAGGGCCGTTTTGTTCCTGTAAAATATGGCTTAATGGTAATCAGGGAGAGGAAGGAGAGAAGTATCAGAGTAGAATATTGATCTGCTTCTGTGTTGCAGAATGAAACCTCATGGAAAAGTGATTTAAATCTGCATGCCACCTTGGAGTTCTGTTTGATAGCTGCTAAAACATCACCAATTTATATGTGTGTAACTGACTCATACAACCCAGAGCCTTTTTTTAAAAGAGGGAAATATGAAGTAAACTGTAAATACATGAAATAGACACAGGTTCATGAGATGTGTCATGATCCTGTGATGCTGTGTTTTGGCAACTCTTTTTCTTCAGTTTTCACAGCAATTTTTGTAAAGAAAAGTATAATTTTTATTGATTTTTAGTAATTCAAAAAGACAAACCTGAAAGAGAGGAAAAAGTTGAAAAGAAAGCTCCTCCTAAAGGTAACTATTCCTTTTCATTACATTTTGATTTTACAACAGTTTATGCTGAAAAGTTTAACCTTTATTTTGAGTAAGCAGAGAGTGAATGTATCTGAAAGTAAGCTATATACTGGCAATTTTGATTAAATAAAATATACTTGTTGTATCTTCTTTAAGATAGCACAAAAAATAGATTGTTTAAGATAATCAAAATAAAACCATGTGCTACTGTATCACAGAGAAAGTCGAGAGCAGACTTATTAAGTGTCACTTACAAGATCAACCAGGAATTTTAGCAGGGGTGTTGGAACAATTTTTATAGTGTGGGTACTGAGAGCTATTGAACCAAACTGTAAGCCCTGTATATAATGGAAACCACTTCAAGCCAAGGGGTGTGGCAGCACTGCCAGTATCTCTGGTTCCAGCACCTATGAATTTTAATAGTGTTGTGACTTTGTTTGGAGTTAGGAATTGGCTGTTGTATAAACAGTAGTTTTCTGGTGTCATCGGTAATTTCGGTTTCCATATTGTTAAAATCAGTTTAATACGCCCAGTGGTTTAGTGGGAATTTCTGTGCCACCACATTATGGGACACATGAGTTTTGCAGCAACTTCCAGAGTTCTGCCTCAAGGTTAAATAAGCTTGAGAGTTTCAGAAGTAGCACACTTGGAGAGGGCTAAGTTCTACCCTCAGGCACATGCCCTCAGCTCCCATCAACTTCACATAAACAGAATTTGGAGCTTGGGCTCTGAAAAACCAAGTTACTTAGTGCACACTACTTATAATGCTCCTGATGTAGCTTGAAGTGTCTGCTTATGGCTTGATTAGTTTTCCAGACCTGAAGAAGAGCTCTGTGTAGTTCGAAAGCTCTTCTCTCTCACCAACAGAAGTTGCTCTAATAAAAGATATTATCTCACCTACCTCATCTCTCTAATATCCTGGGACTGACCCGGCTACAACTGCATGTGTCTTGATTAGACATGTTCCCTATTTGGTGCCCCATCCTGTAAAGTGCCTGACATTCCCACTGCAGACTGTGTATCAGATTGACCCCTGAATGACTACAT